TCGTGCGGTCGAGTGGTTTGCGACTTTAGCGAGAGGAATGTCGTAAAATACTCCCGTCTACTGCGCCCGCGCCTTGTACGGCGACGTTAGGTATGTATGATCCTCGGTCTGAACCAAGGGTAGACACGGTCTTGCGTAAAGGCATATTTACACAAAAACTCGATAATTCCATGTGCGTTGGTAAAAGTAGTGTGCGTAATGATGGGTCCATTTTGAAAAGGAAATGAACTTGTTACCGCGTGAGACATGCGAGCGAACATTGCCGATTGGAGAGTAAATCATTTTGTTACTCTCGTTTTTATAACAAATGAGAATCTCGCGTAATTCACTCGTTGCTAATGCCTAATTAGTGTGTCACGAAGACCAAGACGCTGTCCGAATAAGAGTAGAATTGACTAATTAAATAGAAACTACATTAAATTAAAACGAACCTTCTAACTTTAGTCTCTTTCGCATAAAATTGGCATAATTGCAGCGGTCTCGTCTTTTTATAGTTATTAAAGCAGAAAGCGGCAAGAGTGCTCGTGTTTGGTGCCCATTAGATTAGAATTTGTATAGAATATTCTCTCGTTTTTTGAAAAAGTAGATTCTAGCGTCTAGCGGTGTTTTATTGCAAGCCTAAAAAGATTAACAATTTTGGTCAGAAATACAGTAACCCGAATATTTAGTAAGATCACAATGAAATAAATAATTCAAAGTTACAGTCACGTATTTTATGGAAACAAAATTAAATCAGCAAACACTAACAGAAATCCATTTTAGCGATTGGGTAAGAAATAGTATTGACTGCGGAATTTCCCTGGCAAGGTAAAAATATCCACTAAACATGGCAAACTAAATTGTTATACCTACTTACTTACATATTACAGTATGTATGTGCACGCCGAATAGTTTACAAAACAATCTGTGAAATGTCTAAAAGCGGTTGCCTAAACTTGTACGCCCTTGACGATACAAAAACAAACCGTTACGTGCTGGTTTGCCCACTCGAAATTAAAACTTTATAATCCGTAGTGTTACGAAGCAGTTAAAAATTCAACGTAAGCGTCCTTGAACTGTAGTAACGCAGGTCTAAGTCGAGCCAGTTTTAAACGTATAAGCGCAGGTACACTCAAGGGAATCAAGGCATGCTAGCCCGTGTTTCAGTTTACAATATGGGTTTAATAAAGATTGTATCTGTAATATCACAACTGCATTGTTTAGCGGTAAAAGCTGAAATAGCCTAATAATTGGATAAGAATCTTGCACGCGAAATTTTAGACATTAATTTTCAGAATTACTGCACGGCACGGTTTGTCTGGCCTAATTCACAAAAACGTGTAGGGTCTTATCCCCAAGAATGCATGAATCAAGAAGAATCATCATTTATGACTATGCTTTAGGTGTCCAATAGTGTTCATCCCATTAAAATAATCTGAATACACGCATCTTTGGATTTCAGGAAAGTTTTGTCGCAAAAATCGTGGAAAAGTCCAAGTTGCAACTTGCAGTCACTAATCTTGTTATAATCGTTCACAACAACACCTAATAGGGAAAGCATGACGTCAAGGAACATATACCTAACCGTCAAGGTTAGGTAGTTAGTCCTTGTTGTGCAAGCGAAAAGACTACCTACTTATTTTCTTCAATTTTCTTCTCTCATTGCAAAAACACAAAGCAAACTTGCATTTTTAATGGTTAAAATTCTAGTTTTAAGGACTTACAAATGTGTGAAAGCACCAATACTTAGTATTTGTCTTAACTGTTTCTCATTGACTTAACTACTTATATTTGTACAACTGCACTAAAATGAACATAAATTGCTTCTAAATGCTAACGTTAAATTGCGAAGACGCAAAATAACAGTTATGGTGATTGCTACCATTAATTTCCTATCTGCCGTGTTGGCAAGCAAAGGGAACTGGTTACAGCAAATTAAATTTTAATATCGCTTTATTTCAATCATTTGTTAGACTGCCAAGGAAGCGGTGGGTGGTAGTAATGTTAACCAACAAATATTGTTCTATGATAGCAGATTAATCATTTGAGCGCTATTGAGCAATGAAACAAGCGAGTATACGCATTATTATTTATTAGTTTCATTGGTCAATATAATAGGTATGTATACAGACTATCTTACCTCTAATCATCTATGGTCTAGTGGTAAGACTACCTGTCTCAGACCCAGTGGTCCCGGGTTCGATTCCCAGTGGGGGCATTTTCTGATCGGTTTGGTTTTTGGTCGATCAGCTACACCGCAAATCCTTATCTAGTCTGTCGCTATAATAGCAATATTTTGAAAATGTAGAAAAGTTCGCTTCCACCTTTGGTCTGTGCATCGCTTTCCATAAGTTTAAGATGCAGATCAAAACCTACGTTGTGGATTAAATAAAACATTCTTCTTCCTCGGTCCCTCACTGATGAAGATCGCGACCACGTATAGTGTTCCTCCACAGACTGCGGTCATAAGCTGTGGCCGCTGCGCGAAAACATTACTAATGCTAAAATAATGTTATAGCATTTGGTGCAATAGAAAAAACCAGTAAAATGTTGCCACCTTTGCGTGTGCCAATGTTTAGCAACACGTGGCGGTGCATCTCAATTTGCGCAATCCAGATTGAAATACAAGGAAGTGCCACGAGTGGAACGGTAAACAGCTTCTCCAATATTGGAATGTTAATCAAATGTTGGAGATTAATGGAATTGAAGAGCTCATGCAATTCCAGCAATATTACGGTGGTTGTAATTTGCAAAGTTGGAAGCGATCGTTATGTTTTATCACTTGTAGCTCTAATTAAGTAAGTAGTAAAAATCAATAATAATTTTACTTCACTTTATCATTTAATTAATAATTGTATTTTATAATAATTAAGCCAATAATTGCTCCAAACTAAGCAAAGCTTGTACTTGGCGACTAGATACTGGATTAATAATAAAATTTTAAAAATCAATTTAATAGGCTACCTACCTACATAATTCCTTCATGATTAATGGGCGTATTTAAAATCTATGGCGTGCTAATACAGCAACCATATTTTACAATACCTGCATTTTGGATTAATCTCGTTTTTACATTACATGCCCAACACCCATGATTCCGTGCTCATCATTTGCCCCAGGCGGGATTCGAACACGCAACCGCAACTAGCTTTCGTTGTAAATGAGCAACCAGCCACGAAAGTCATTTATTGGATATTAAATAGCAGGGCATACTTGATAAAATGTTCATAGTATAGAAATCTAGAAAATGTGTTAGTAGGCCAAATCCATCACCGCTTGTCTCGCAACATACGAGCCAGCCTCGAGGCAAGCCGTTTACTTAGGCCAACATTATGTACCTAACACATGCCTAACATTTAATAACATGCCCACCTATGTAACATTTAACAGCAATATTCATTAACACCACAACAAGCGTAGGAACTAATTGGTTACTTTTTACTACAATTCGCAAGTTATTATTCCGAGGGGCTTTACAAAAATACTTTTATAATAATTGTTCCGCCCAACGACTTCAGTCACCGGAGTTCACACTTCGATACTCAAATAAATTACCTCTGATACACATCACCGTTGCTCAATTGTTGTTATATAATTTACACGCCTTTTATATTTTACAAGATCCCTGACATAGGTAATTTAAAAATGCTCTGAACGGTTGCTTATTACGAGACACGATTAAGCCATGTCATAATTAATTGCAATATGAATAAACAATTGCAGAGAATCAGAAAAGGATCGATCAAAAACGCCAAGTTTGTGCTGCAGGCCACAAAATAAGATATTATTATGAAAATTTCAGCTCTACAATCTTGAAAGCTCTTGTATGACATCATTTTTAACTGCACTCTAGGTTGTCTAAGGCTCGATTGCACCATCTTACTTTAACTTCGAGTTGAGTGGCGACCACGGGCTGGAAGACGTAGCGTGGGCAGGCCTCCTACTAGGTGGACCGACGATCTGGTAAAGGTCGCGGGAAGAGTCTGGATGCGGGCAGCGCAGGACCGTGCATTGTGGAAAACTTTGGAGGAGGCTTTTGTCCAGCAGTGGACGTCATTTGGCTGAAACGAACGAACTTTAACAAAAATCTGTCAAACTCCCATACGTAAAACATCAGTTATCGTTATAGTTGCCGTCAAGTTTTAGGTGGTGCAACTCAGCCTAAGTGTTAGTTAAGACCGCCAGAATTTTGCCATCTCTTTTATGAATTTTTTATTCTTGTTTTCTGTGGTGTACAAAAATGTGCGTTCTATTTATTAATATAACTTGCGTAAGTATGTGAAATTCCAATTCAATCAAACTACAGGTAGGATAGATCGAATGGTTCAAATAAACCAATAAGCTTGTAAAGAAGTGTACCTACTTACTGTAAGTAATGTCACAGCATGATCTAGATCATTTTTACATTTTCCTTTCCTCCATAAACTGGAGCGCGTCAATTCAGGTGGCTATCTCGGTGAAATCGCCCCATGTGGACATGAGCAAGTTTTTCTTGGCCAACTTATTGCAGTGTTGCGCTCTCGGTTGTTTGTTATTATTCTGCTCATGATAGAGCAGAAACGCGACTAAGGTTAACGTCCTCGATCGTCTTTTTTTTGCAACAAATTGCATAGTGTGGTGAGTGGTCTTCTTTTAATGCATCTTGTGAATATCGGCTACTGTAAGGCTGGGTTGCACCATCTTACTTTAACTCTACACAAAAAACACCGGTTAACGTTACAGTTACGGTCAAAGTTAGGTGGTGCAATTCAGCCTAAGATGGGACTATCTAAACTTTGTTATAAAAAGAGTTACTAAGCTTTTATGATGGGATGATTTTTGTGATACTAATAACAAAACAGTTAATCTTAGAATCTAATTTATTGCAAATAAATCGCGATAATCAAAATTAACCCTACAAAATTAAATCTAAGGTCCATATTATTGAACGACACTCAAAAACGTTTCAGAACTGTGATTAATCAAAAAAGTGAATCACATTCTTGAATTTTGGAATCAAGTATTGAGTGTCATTAATCCTAATTACTGATTCAATACATTTTATGTGGTTTTCTTCCCAACTGACAAGAATCCTGATGTGTTTGAAAAGTATTTGGCGTTTGCTTCGTTCACCCGCGTCTCCGCTGCTTGAGGATTGACTATTTCCAGGCCCTGAAACAAATTAAAAAAACTTATTATTTTTTTACTTATTTTTTTATGACTTTCGTCAATAAAATTCTACTAATGTTTTTCAAAAAACAAAAGATACAAAGAATACAGTAAATGACACTATGTAGAAGGCAACATAATAATATGCTCTAAATATACATAATGATAAATGAAATGGAAGATAACATACGAAAACTAAATCATACATCAATTCAAGAGCCATAAATCCTGAAGGTATGGACATTGGACAACCATATTTTAATTTAATTTATGTTGTAGTTTTCTAAGCATAGTATCTGTTGGTTATGCACCCTATTACCAAATAACTTTCACAGTGCACTGATAGTAGGCGTACCACAGGGCTCCTGATTTACCGAATACCCGATTCATGATAACAGTTACGTGATCAGCTCAATTTCCGACTTACTGGCATTTTCTTATCTATTCCAAAAGGACTAATAAGGAATTTGTGCAGTATTGAAAAGTGAAAGTTAATATGTTTAAACGGCGGGAAAGTTAGGGCTGCCAGTCATTCCTGATATTAATACTAACGGATCTGTAATGCTTTAATCTCATAGGCTTCATCCTCATCCCGGGTGTGAGAATTTTATAAACCGCTCCAGGCGACAAACATGTAACTGCCGCTACTGCAGCAGCAAAATTTAAATATAACGGAATGTGCTGCCTTGCATAACTGCATGTGACTATTACATGATGACCTTTAAATGTAGATTATGTTAAAGCAAAAAATATGTAGTCTAAATAAAATAAATTATCATAGGAAGTGGCAATCAGATTTACTTCGATCTGAGACCGCCGTTCCCAGGTCAGCGAAATGCAAATTATAGAGAAATCAGTATTTCATAACTACATCGGAGCCAATTTACGGGTGGCAAGCCTAGGAAAGAGGTAAATGACACTTAATAATGTGCGTGGCTTTCCGGACTAACTTGATAACACTGGTAGCTTGTTGGTCTTTCGCTTGTCACTCAGCTTGATTAGGTATTAGATCTGGTATGTTTTCTTTTTTATTATTTTCTATAATAATTTTGACGTTCATAAGTGCCACTTGTGGTCTAAACTGAATAAATACTTTTGATTTTGATTTTTTGATTTTATGATTGCAAGCCGGCAACGCACACGCACGCAGCGTCTATTTTCACACTATTGTAAGGCTGAGTTGCACCATCTTACTTTAACTTTGACAAACGTCAAAAATCTGTCAAAATCCATACAAAAAGCACCGGTTATTGTTAATGTTACGGTTAAATTATGGTGGTGCAACTCAGCCTAAGTGTGGTCTGAAAACAGCTATCCTTGTTATGTGAATTCACACCGTTAGTCCATGTCCTAGTACATATAGCTTCCTATAGCAAATCAAAATTGAACCGGACGGATGCGCGGGAACTACCCATTAATTAATTAGCGAGCATTTTCCCGGCGAAGCTTCTAGAAATACACGCTGTTTTTGTTCTTCAATACTTACTGATTTGAATAACTGTAAATTAATTTATGCTTTCCTCTTTATGTGAAACTGAAGCTCAGATTAAATCTGAACATAAACCGTTACATGGAATACATGTGTTCAATCATCAGACGAGTTATTACGCGGGATATATGCATTCTGTTTTATCTTGGAATCAAAGTACGTAAATATAGGTCTGGCGTTTATACAGTGTGAGTCACGTTAAAGTGTACATATGAAAATAGATGAAACTAGACCTATTTTTATCGACAAAAAAGAGGTCAAAAATTTTTTGAGATTTTTTTTTAATTTTTTATAGAATTTTTTTTCTTCCAATTACTTATTGTAAAGAAAACGTAATAACTTTTGAACTAAGCGGTATATCCTGATAAAATAAAAACAATAATAAAGCTAAATAACGGACAATACTAAAAAAATACATAAAATACACAAAAAATGCCAACAAATAATAAAAAATGATACTTTTGAAAAAAATCTGCTTTTAAATTCGTGTTTTTTTGGTTATTTGATAAATTTCTCCAAAAAATGCCCCTATAACAGGTGGTTTTTNTAAAATTTTTGCTTATTAGTGTTAAGCTACCCACGCTTTCACTTGTTTTTGAAGGAAGAGGTGAAAACTAAAAATTAAAAACTTAAATCCTCGTAATTTTGCGAGAAATGGGTCAAGCCCCAAATTTGAAGTATTTTCATCGATAAAATTGTCCATAGATTACGCCCTTAAAGTTTGATCACTACAAGCCCGGACACACTGTATAGATATAGGTCAGTGCCTGAGGTATGGGAGCGGTACGGGAAGGCTCGTAGAGACGATGGCCGTTGGACGTGGCAGAAAAGTTCTCGAGTGGCGACCACGGGCTGGGAGACGTAGCGTGGGCAGGCCTCCTACTAGGTGGACCGACGATCTGGTGACGGTCGCGGGAAAACCCTGGATGCGGGCAGCGTAGGACCGTTCATTATGGAAAACCTTGGGGGAGGCCTTTGTCCAGCAGTGGATGTCATTTGGCTGAAACGACGACGAGAGGGGTGACATTGACATATTATTATTATGACGTGACAGAGCATACAAATCTGAAACGTCTTGACGTTTCAAAAACACCTTCCCTGTGTCCGCTTCCATACGTCAGGTACTGACTCATAAGCGCTAGACTATAGTAGTAGTAGTAGTTATAGGTACTTGTATTTAACACCTTCGCTGCCAGCCTAAAAATGGCACTGTTCCGTTTGGGCCATGGGGGACAATGATGGGCGACACTTTAACTTTCCGTTCGGGCCGCGTCGGACAATGATGACCGCGAGTCAGACCTATGTTCAAACCTCTGTATTAAGCCGATGGACAGAATTTCTTCAATAATTCTCATATAAGCTGACCCGCGCGGCTCCCAAGATTAGTGTACGTCACTTGGTTCTCAAGTAAAGCTCGGACTTAGAAAAAAAAATGTGGATAACGGTAGCGCAATGAAACATGGTAAGCATTTTTGCAAATGTATCAACTTTTTAGCAAGATAATAATGGTTTATTAATTAAAACATATCGTTTACTTATTTTATATAATTTATAATATGCAGGACAATAAAAAAAAACACTTTCATTGTTGAACAACCACTTTGTATGAAGGGTTGGTACAGGTACTAAGTTCTTTGTACAGCTACAAAACTTATGCCATTTAAAATCTTATTAGTGGCATAAATTATAGTACTTATTAGATACTTACACCTAGCAGGATTGTCGAGAAAAATAGATTTGTTAAATGTATGAAAAAAAAATTTTTCTCTTATCGATACTCTATTCTAGAACTTTTTTTATTATTCATGTAGGTCAAATTATTGGCATGTTAAATCAGCTATGTCATTATAATTATTTTTAATTTTAAGTATATTTTTAAATATTATTTGTAGATATACTGACAATTCAATAGTGTTCTGAAAAAATAACCGATCGAAAATGACACTACAGTGATGGATGAAAAATTCAAAATACAGTCAAACAATTTCTAAAACGTCAAGTCGCAAAAATTGGATTAATGACCCAGTTGATAGTAGCACCTTCCTGTAAATTTCATAATTATATGGCTGTCCAACGAGGCAAAAATGGGAACTAATAGTTCAGTATTGATAGTAGCGCCTTCCTGACAATGCCATAGCTGGGACGGCTCAGTTTTGGACAACTTTTATACGAATTATTGATAAATTCAATTTTTTAAATAAAATTTAAACCTTTTTTAATTAAAACAATTTGAAAAAAATCACTTTTAGCGTTCCTTTTACGGTATCATCGATTTATTTATTATTATTTTTAATCACTATTTAAGACTTATCCTGCTAGTTTCGTTTCTCATTTTATACCTCATAATATTCCTATTTATGCGTAATATAATATATCAAAAACGTACCAATGTACAACTCTTTATTTTTTTGGTTGTTCTCCTTTTTTTTTTGGATGCGAGCGGGGATGGTCGACTACATGACCGCGCGGCCCTACGGAACGGATTTTCGAATTTTCGCTCCCCGGGGCCATGGGGGTCAATGATGTCCGACGCTTAATAATTCGATGTAGAGACTCAAAAACAACCATATGTTAATAAAATCCTTTATTTATGTTTATAATGTAACGATTTAACAAAAAAAAACAATCGACGAAAATTGAAAAAAATTGAAATTTTTACTTGGCCTGGTAGGAAAGTGCAGTGTCGGACAACATTGACCGCGTTGGCGTTCAATGTGTTAAAGGCATTAGGCCTCTGCATTCCATAATGTACAATAAAGTTGTCTACACAAATCGTGACAGCGTGGAGTTTGTTTTATTGCATTAATGGGAAACAAAATAGGTCTGACTCCGAACCAGACAGAACATTCACCATTATACAATACTTGGAATGGAAATGCATCACGAGCTGGGACTTTTACTTTTCCTCTAGTACCTACATAAGTACATGATATGAAAAGTTGTTATATTTTGTGATATTACTGTGGGAAAACGCGGATAGAAACCAAATAGATTGTAGAAATAAATTATCATAGTTTATTATGGCAGGGTCGCATTCTTACGATACATAAATGGGCATAAAGGCGAAGAAATAATAGCTGTATTTATTAAACCAATCGACAAAGCACATATTAATCAAAGGCGATAAAATATGAGTCTTGTACGCATTCGTTTAATTCATGCCGCTAAATAAAAGAAACATTAACAGCGGAAAAATAGCTGTCGCTGCTAATATAGCTGCCAAATTCCAAATGGACAAATGGAAGGTGACAGTTGACATTGGAAATCACTCAGAAATGACAGTTCATGATTGAGATCACAAAAAGGAAAATTGAAAAAAGTGAAGTTCTGGATGATAGCAATAATTAGGGTGCGCACACACGGGCGACTTTTGTCGCCGTAACTGTTTTGTCACTCATACCAATTACAAAGTCCATGGAGTTGTATAGGTGCGCGTACTCAGCGACACGTGACAGTGACAGAAACTTTTTTGTCACCAAAAGTTACCGTGTGCGCGAGTCCTTATTTGCCACAT